TAAAGACAGTCTTTTGAAGGACTTCTCTGGGCTGTGCAAAAGAGCGGTGACCAGTGGTGGAGCTAAATTGGCTCTGAGCTATTGAAATCACTAGAACGGTTCATAGAAAAGAGTGTTAGCAGCCATCTAGACCAGCCGCTCCTTTTGCAGGCGAGGAAGCTGAGGGCCAGGAAAGGGAAGGCTTGCCCAGGGTCATGCAGTGTCAGGGCAGCGATGCCGCCAGTGCTGGAACCAGCAGGTTTGTAGTTGTGTCATTTCCCAGGAAGGTCACCTTTCTTAGGAATCCTTTTGCTTCTAGGCTCAATTACTTTTAGCATTTGTAGAAAATTCAGCAACAGTGTATTTGATGTTTAAATGAATGTAAAATGCAAGTTTCTATCCCCTAAAAACAAATTTCAGGACTCACCCATTCAAGCTCGTTTTACGTAGTACAAGTAAAATTCAAAGATAAATTTTTTTCCTAAATAACCTTGTCCTGAATTTTATCAAGTGTTTGGATATGAAATAATGGAAATAAGGACATAAATTTACTAATTTTATACCTCAAGGACTATAAAAAAAAAAACCCAGAAATTTACTCTTCCATTTGCCAATTAAAAAAGTAGATTTAAATTATGCTTCCCTAAGTAGTTTTTCTGTTTCTGTACCCATGTCCTATTTATATACCTGTGCAACTGAACATTTTCCTCCAGCTTGGTGTGGAGAGAGGGGAGGGGAGGTAGAGCCAGTGTAGACATAGCTGTGAGCAGTAGCCTCAGCGGGACGGGAAGGGTTAGGGGAAGTGGGGAACCTGAGAGACACTTACCGCAGTGGAACTCTCCAGGGAGTTGATGGCTGTTAGTGAGTGTAGCTTTATCTAGCTCCAATATAAAATGCTCTCAGAGGTATCGTTTCTAAATGTTTAGGAGCAGTTTCAAAGCTTGCTTGCTTTTCTGTTAAGCAAATAAAGGCTTAGGGTCAACCTAAAAGAACAGCTAATCAGCTTATGTTCACTGGTGGCAAATTTCGTTGTGATTGTAATTCTCATATGAAATTGTTTTTGCCCTGGGCTGTGGTCTCACCCTGCTTGATAGAATACAAGATCTGCTGTGGGTTCCATGTTGGAGAATTTTACTCTCCTCTTTCAAGTGCTAGTGCGAGGAAGATCTTAGGAAACATGGGTTGAGGATATTTTGAATTTACTAATTCACAGACATGAGTTTCACCTTTTAAGCAAGTCCAGGAGAGAAATCAAATTTAAGCCGGAAGATAGTGGAAACAGCATGGGCTCTGGAGCCAGACAGACCTGGGTTTGAATCCTACCTTTGGCAATTAGGGGTACGAGGACACTTGGACCAGTTATGTAAGTTTCGTGACGATCTTGCATCTCATTTGTAAATTACAGGGATTGATGCCTTCCAAAGGTGTTGTGAGGAATAACTGAAATAAATACAAGAGACATCAAATCATTACCAAGTTAGTTCACTTCTTCTAGATCCATACTAGAGGCATTAAGCAGAGAGTCTGTTACATACAAGACTCCGGGCTAGATATTTGGGAGAGGCTGGATCAGAGAAGAATGAAACCTATATTCCGCTCTAAAGAGCTTACAGTTAAGTGGGGAAAATATGACGTGCACAGAAACTGCAGTCCACAAGCTCTGGCCACGCTGGCCTCTGCTGTTCCTGGAACATTCAGGCATGCTTCCGCCTCAGCACTTGCCCTCCCTCCCCCACCCCGGGACGCCTGTCTCCTTTACCTCCTTTAGATCTTTACTCAGGATCATCCTGTTTAAAATGAACTCCCTGCTGCCAGTATCCCTGTCCCTCTTCCCTGCTTGCTTTTCCCCCAACAAAATGTGTGTGTGCATGTGTGTATTTTCTCTTGCTATGTGTTCCACCTGTCTTTTCAGTATGAACACCACGATTATCTGATTTATTTACTGCTCTATTCCTACTGCCTAGAACAGTGCTGGCTTAGGTACTCAGCAAGTGTTAATGGAATAAATGAGTGATCTAACTAATTAATTTCAGGTACAGAGAGGGCCTAGCACAAAGAGCCCCAGTGGCTAGAAGAGCAGAAGGTCTGTTAGGGACTAAATTTATTTTCTATTGCTGCTGTAACAAATGATCATAAATATAGCATCTTAAAACAATTCAGATTTAATATTTTAGTTCTGCAGGCTATAGCCTGATCCAAGTCTCAGCAGGCCAAAATCAAGGTGGGAGCATGGCTACCTTTCTTTCTGGAAACTCCAGGGGAGATCTGTTGCCTTGCCTTTGCCCGCTTCTGGTTAAGTTCTTCTCACAGCACATCACCCTGACCTCATCTTTTGCCTCCCTCTTCTGCTTTTAAGGACCCTTGTCATTATGTTAGCCCCACCTGGAAAGTCTGGGCTACCCTCAGCTATTTTAAGGTCAGCTGATTGGCAGCCAATCAGCCTAATGGTTAGGCTTTATCTGGGAGGCAGTGGGAAGTTGCTGAAGGCTTTGGAGCAGGAGAGAGAAGTGATGGAAATGAGTGAGACTGTTGGAGATGAATATGGGCCTAGAGCAGGCAGTTGGAGGGAGTCTTATGTTTACCTTCTTAAAGGCGTTTGATCTCCTCCCTCTTGCGTGTACAGAAAGCTAGGGATGTATTTAGAAATTCCTCTTTTAAAAAAGTGCATTTATGGTGTCTTTTTAAAAACCACTGTCACACATATGCACAACGCGTATACATAGAGGCCCCCAAAGCCCTGTTACATAGACACAAGTGCTCCCATCTCCTTATATACACATCCACTGCTTCCGCCTGAGAAAGAATCTCAGGGTCTCTTTTCTGTGGTTCTTAGTGTCCTGTCCCGTTTTTTTTTTCCTGCCCTGGCACACTTGAGTGATGTTTCTTCTCCCCAGAAACACAGGCTTACTCTGGCAGTGGTTCTCATGGGGTGGTTCCATAAGCCTTCTTCAGCAGGCACGGAAGAGTCTCCAGGGAGATGGATGGGGTATGAAGAAGTCCCTCCTCCCTCACCCCTCCGTCACCCTCACACTGGCCCTGCTTTCACAGAACTTCTAAGACAGTTCTTCTCCCTGACACCCACTGAAAGTCTCATGATTATTGAACACCTGATTTTGAACAGTGTCTTATAAGAGTGCTTACCCTTTGATTAGCCACTGTAAAGCAGCACTGTCCAACAGGACTTTCTGCAATGACATAATGAACTGTTCTCTCTCTGGGTTGTTCAGTGTGCTAGCTACAGCCACATGTGGCTGTTAGGTTCTGGGAGTGTGGCTGCTGCTGCTGCTGAAAAACCAGGTTTTTTATTGTTTGAATTAACTTAAATTGAAATAGCCACACCTGGCTGGTGGCTACCTATTAGTGCAGCTTTAAAGAAGCAGGACTTGCTGAGCATGCTGAAGAGACCATAGCAGTATCTGTGGTAAGCAGAGTAGTATTTGGCAACCATATAGCCTTTTGGAATCAAACAGACCTGGGTTGAAATTTTGGTTCCAAGCTAGTGATTTGCAGGTAAGTCACTTAATCTGAGTCTCAGTTTTGTCATCTACAAACTGGGTATGATCAGCGGTATATTAGGGAGAAAGATGTTAGGTACTCTCTAACTTAAGGGGAAGAATATTTCACCTCTGAATTGTTGCACATGATAAACATCAGACCTACTTTTCATTGATTTGTTATTTTTCAGTATTCTATAGACGGTGTGCCCTGTCATTCCCTGACCCAGGGTAGACTTCTGCTCCCTGCCTGTGTTACCCCCATGGGGTATAATCTTACATACATAAAAGAGCTATGTGAAGATAAATCAAGACAGTATCAGTAAAGCCTTCAGCATGGTACACACATGTGGTTTTCAGTCATTCAGCAAGTGCTGATTGACCACCTGCTATGTGCCGGGCACTGGGCTAGATGCCAGAGATACCTTGGCAAATGGGAAACATAGAGGACCTGCTTACTAAATAGGAGGGCAGACATTTAATACACGGGAGTCATCATTTTATTTACTTTTGAATTTTTTCAATGTTTTGGGATTTTGTTTTTAGATAGAAGTCAGAATTGGTTCACCTGGGTGTAGTTGTACTTTATACTTAATAAGGTTCTATCTGTGGGTCTCCTAACAAATAATTATTTTATCCTATTCCCCTTTTATTTTTGTAAATACCAGATTTATTGAGATATAATTCACGTATGAAGAAATTCACCCAGTTAAACTGTCCAATTCAATGGTTTTTAGTCTCTTTGCAGAGTTGTGCAACCAGCACGGTGTCAATTTTAGAGCATTTTTATCACCCCAAAAAGAAACCCCTACCCATTAGCACAGACTCTCCAGTTCCCTTCAATCCTCTTAGCCCTAGGCAACCACTAATCTACTGTGTCTCTCCAGATTTGCCTGTTGTGGACTTGTCATATCCGTAGAATCATACATGTGGTCTTTTGTGATTGGCTTCTCATTTAGCATAATGTTTTCAAGGTTCATCCATGCTGTAGCATGTATCAGTACTTCATTATAGAATAATCTGTTGTATGGAAATACCATATTTTATTTGTCAGTTGATAGACACGTGAGTTGTTTCCATTTTTGGCTACAAACAATGCACTATGAGTATTTGTGAACAAGATTTTGTTGAACATATGTTTTCATTTCTCTTGGGTAGATGCCTACGCCTAGGGTTGTTTATGTGGTAACTCTAATTGGTAATATGGAAACTCAATGTTCAACCATTTGGGGAACTTCCAGAGTGTTTTCCAAAGCTACACCATTGCATTCTCATGAGCAGTGTGTGAGGGTTTCAGTTTGTCCACGCCTTCACAACGTTTGCTGTTATCCTGTTTTATTATAGCCGTCACAGTGGGTATCAAGTAATATCTCACTGTGGTTTTGCTTTATATTTCCCTGGTGATAAATGATGTCAAGCATCTTTTTATGGGCTTGCAGGCCATTTGTCTGTCTTGGAGAAAGTTCTATTCGGGTCCTTTGCCTATTACTAATTGAGTTATTTGTCTTCCTTTCCTGTCCCAAACAGGATGCCGATATGCTAACTGGTGATGAGCAAGTATGGAAGGAAGTTCAAGAATCCCTGAAAAAAATTGAAGAACTGAAGGCACATTGGAGTATCCTTTGACCTGTGGACTGAGTTGGGCTGTTGAGACTGTTTGCTTTCTGTCTTCAAGCCCTGTGGTAATCAGGCCAAAGGCCAGGTTTGACCGCTGCATGAGTCAGTGGTTTCCATTCCGATGCATGGTCACAGGCCGCATCCCTGACCCCGGCCAGCAGTTTGAGTAATGATAAAGAAGACTGTGGCAAGATCAGCACGAATAATAACTCACTACCATTAGGTAACAATCAAAATGTGTGGCCCAATGGTAGTAGGAAAGTAAGTAGTAGCCTCTTTATCTGTAAAAGGTAACAAATTCCTCAGTTCTCTCCTCCCATAACCACCTACATCTCTAGGAAAGAATAGCCTAAAATCCTTATAATTCAGTGTCATTGACTGTCAGACCTAGAAGCTTCATATTAAACCAGCCACGACTACAGTGGCAATGGGGATTGCTGCACAAATTTTCTCGGCATGAATAGTCATGACCACAGGGAGCCAGAGTTCAGAGTAACGAGAGTCACTTAGGAGGAAGGTCATCTGGGAAGGCTCCACTGAAGTTTTACTGTGCAAAAGATAGCCTGAGGCAGGGGCAGGGTTCGAATAGAGGCTGAGAGGAGGCCTCGTGAGCAAAGCTGCTGAAGGAGACCACAGGCAAGAAGGAAGAGATCAAAGTACACGAAAAGATTGCAAAAGGGCTTTCAGATGTTTGGGATAAATGATATCTCAGGCACAGGGAGGTTTGCAGTTTTCTGATGATGCTATTTAAAGAGTTGTAAAGAAGCAGAGAGGTACTTAGAGGGACGTTTCCATTTTTAAAGGTGAAGGACATGATTTCTGAATCGATTGCCCACTGGATTTATTAGCAGCCTTAGTAATGAATCTAGGATTGGTTACTAAGGAATAGAGAGGAAAGCTGTGATCCTCATGATGCTGTGTGGCTTTTCCAAGAGCAAGTGAATCCACAGAGTCATGGCTCGCTTTGGTAAAGTTTGTATCAGGATTTTAGGAAGGGATTTGATGAAAAGTAATCAAGAAGTTTATGTTAGATGTTAGCAAAGCTAACGGAATAGCTACATGGAAAAACGATGCTGAATGATTCAGTGTCATTCTGGAGTACCCTCTTTCCTTCTTGGTCCTCTATAATTCATCATTCCATACCTTGAATGAAGATAGGACAGGTTTATCAAATCTCCAAAGTGACATTGATGGGGAGGATAATAGAGGGGGATGCTAGAATCGATATCTCTAAAGAAAAGACTTCAAAAGATCCCCAAAGGTTTAAATGGTCAAGGTTTAAAGAGGTGAAATTTAACGAGCATATATAAACTTTGTATTTGGATCAAAAAGTTCAAGTATATAAATATGCTTGAGAACATGTGAAAAAAGTTTAGGGCTTCAGTAAATAGCAAAATTTAACAACATTTAAGAGTATAATATGAACTCCTTAAAGACTACTATGCTCTTCGGTTACATTAGTATAGATTATTAAATTATAAAGATGATAGTATCGGTCCAATTATTTCTAAAAATTTCCATTCAGTTTGAGGTGAGAAGTATTAATAGGGATCTAGAAAAATTGTTTTCAGGGGTGGAACTGAAATTAAAGAGGGATTTGAAACCCTGTCTATGATGAGATGGAAGACACTGGGAAAACAGTCAGCTTTGGAAGCAGCAGGTCCCTGGACATGGTCTGAAGAGCCTTTGTGTACAGAGGAGTGGACTTTTCTGTGTGGTCCCTTGGGCTGAAGAGCCTTTGCGCGCAGAGGAGTGGACTTTTCTGTGTGGTCCCTTGGGCTGAAGAGCCTTTGCGCGCAGAGGAGTGCACTTTTCTGTGTGGTCCCKTGSGCTGAAGAGCCTTTGCGCGCAGAGGAGTGGACTTTTCTGTGTGGTCCCGTGCGCTGAAGAGCCTTTGCGCGCAGAGGAGTGGACTTTTCTGTGTGGTCCCTTGGGCTGAAGAGCCTTTGCGCGCAGAGAAGTGGACTTTTCTGTGTGGTCCCTTGGGCTGAAGAGCCTTTGTGCGCAGAGGTATGGGCTTTTCTGTGTGGTCCCGTGCGCTGAAGAGCCTTTGTGCACAGAGGTGTGGACTTTTCTGTGTGGTCCCTTGCAGCGGCCTTGGGCCCATGAACAACCCAGCCGGAGTTCAGTTTCAACTGGACAGGGTTTGACTGAAAACTGACCGTAAGCTGGGTACCTTGCTGGTCATGATTCACACGATGGTTCAGACAGAAGTTGGAAAACACAGCCCTGCACTCACTACCCTCCTACAGAGTGGGGTGGTAAAATGTTGATTCATACATGTTTTGGTAAAGATACAGACTTACAGGGGCATCAGAGATGCAATAGTCAACTTGGGGAGGTTAAAAGCTTTCACAGAGGAGGTGACCACTGAGCTGGGTCTGGGAGGACCAGCAGAAGCTCACCAGGCCAGCCAAGAGGAGAGGAGCCCAGTATGAGGAATGGCGTGTGTGGAACGTGGACAGCCATGCTGCTGAGAAGTTGCGGCCGTTTCACAGCATGAGCGGAGGGAGGCAGTACGGCTGTAACTGCCCAAACTAGGCTTTAGGTGAGAGGGGCCGGGGGTGATTTTTTAAGCAGCAGAGTAATATGATTCAGTGAATTAAAGCTCTGCGGCCTGACAGTCTTTGAGTCTCAGTAAGTTGATTAATTCTCCAGTGAATTTGCTTTGCTTCCCTTTCTTTTTTCCCCTGACCCTCTTATGGTCACTTAAAAGTATTCAGGAGAAAAAGTGTATCTGTTCTGTCCATTAGCAATCTCCTCTCTTTGGGAGGGCTCTTCAGCCCTGCTTCGGTCTAGAGCTCAGCTCCTTACTGGAACAGAGTGACTTGCAGTAAACACCACACAGGTGCCAGGGACTAAATCTTTGATCAAATACATGTCAGTATCAGCTTGGGGGTGAAAGCCTCTTAGTTAAAATTATTCCATTTTTTTGCTCACTGGGGTGTTTTGCAGGAAAGGTTTTGCCTTGTTTGCCAAGCGACAGTTGCCAGTGTTGTGAAGGGAAATTGGCACATAGTCCCTTACAGCTTGCTGGGGGATAAAATAGATGTATTCCTGTGAGTAGCTGCAGAATGTCACATCTGGCTTTTACTTCTAAGGCTTGTCACCTCAAACCTCTTTAGAATAAGTTGGAACATACGTAAATGAACAGGCAAATAAGAGTAGAGGTCAAAGAGCACAGTGTTAAAATAAGGTCCAAGTCTTGCCACAGAAATGTCTAGCATTGTGTAAGAGACAGTCATTCCTCCTGACAGTTCATCAAATATCTAATCCTGGAATGAAACGCCACAGAGGTTAGCCCAGCAATCTGTTACAAAATCAGTGCCTTGCCTAAGATGCTGCTTCCCCAACCTCTAGGGAATACATTCAGCAAACTTTAAACATTCATGTCAGATGAATATGAGAGAAAATCATGGACTCACTTTTCTTCAGGAAATATACCTTTTCTGGGATCAGGGTCAATTCCTCCAAAACAGGATTCATCCTCAAATTGTAGGGGTGTGATATAAAAGGCTCTCAGCTGTGCACTGTGGTGCTTTAAATTCTCATCAAGGAACTAATCTTTTGGAGTAGGATACTGTGCCTCCCGGAGGCCTTTGCCGGAAAGAAAATACATTTCCTGTGAAAGCTCATAAAGGTATTAGTCTCCACTCTCAGGAGTGGCTTGACTGGTTTATTAGAAGTATTTGTTAATGTTTTGGAAAGCCCTGTCCTGAGGGAGGGTATGGACACTCGAAGAGGCAGGTTTTGCTGGCCAGAGAGGGAGAAGGGGGCACCTACAGTGGGCTCCTGATCAGGGCTGGGCATGCTCTGTTAGGACATCAATGAAGAAGGTTTGGAATTGGGGGCAGGGGATGGTTCAGAGAGCATGGAGACTCGGTCAGGTGGGAGTGGGAGGGGTGTGGGGGTGTGAAGCGAAGTTCAGTCAGACTCAGTCCACTGAGACGTTTCCTTTACGCCCAGTCAGGCTCAGAGGTCATGACACTTACGTAGAATATCCTTTACACATGCCACGAAATGTTTTCCCGCTGTGCCTCTGACACCCAGAACTCTCCCTGGCTCACGATGGGACACACAACGAATCGAGTCATTTTACATACAGTATATTACTAATTCTACGTTGATGTGAGTCATTTTTATTTCTGGCCTGTCATAAAGCACTTTGACTTCCTCAGAACCTCAAATCTGACAGATGACAGGACTAGCTTAGATGTGAATCTAGCTTTGCTGCAGTCAAAGGCTAGGCTGCCGCTTTTGATCTTGAAGCCTTTTCCCCCTGCTGTAGTGACAGCATGTGAAGCAGATAAATGTGGAGCTCCACTGGTTGAAAGTGGGACAGGAGTGAGAGAGGGGTCTGTCCCAGCCCAGCACCCTCCTTGGTCTCTACCTTGCCTAGCACAGTGCACAGCAAAGAAACTGTGGTCCCGGGGTCCTGCTCTCCAGCCTTTGCCTTGTTTCCCACGTAGTTCCCCTGGGAGGGATTCAAAGCACGCTCCATAAACCATGTCCTCAGTCCTTTGCCTCTGGAAGACAGGGAATATCCGTTTTCAACAGTGAAGTCACACCAAGGCTGCATGAGATTAAGTTATTGACTCATGGTTAATCAGAAAGTCAGTGTTACTGAGGAGTGGATATTGAGTTTTCTTCCATCCTTTTTAAAGTATCTTTTCCTCTTGCTAGCAATTTACGTGCAGAAGACCTGTTCCTAATATTGTCTCTTATTTTGGGGGTTCAAAATAGGCCATTTTAATGTACTTGGCTTGGGTCACTTTGGCTTTCTAATAAAAAAAAATGAGATCCAGTGGAAATGGATTTCTTCAAATTGCTCCACCTAGTGTGTGTCTGTGAGTTGTGTATTTTGTTTCATGCATGCCCCAAACTCAGATAACACAGAAGCAAACATGAGCTCTTCCTTTTCAAAAAGGAATCTTTCTAAAGCTTCTTTAATTTCAAATCAGTTTTTAAACAGAAGCTAACACTAAATAATTTAAAAGCAAATTAATCTTTAGTCCAATTTAACAACGGACCGCATTTTTTATGGCTAGATTGAAAGACTGCATCTAGGAGTGTGAAGGAAGGACAGTTGTCTGGAAGTTGTAAAACTCCGAAGCACAGGCTTGGCTGCGATTCGGTTTGTTGATGTCAACAGAATTTCCTTCACTGAGACGCCACTTGGGTGTTTTGTTTCTCAAGTGCATTTTCAGGCAGCTCATCTGCGAAAATAACGGGCTCTTCCTTCCCTCCTGTGCCTGGGAGTTCTTCAGCCTTTTAGAGGATCTAATTTTACTTTTGTTTTTTCTTGATGAAGACAATGAATCCTTAACTAAGGTTAATAACAGAGTGGGAGCAGGTTCTGGCCATGTGCCAGGCGGTCATAAGCAGCAATTCTGAACGGCTTCCCGATATCAACATCTACCAGCTGAAGGTGCTCGACTGCGCCATGGATGCCTGCATCAACCTCGGCCTGTTGGAGGAAGCCTTGTTCTACGGTACTCGGACCATGGAGCCGTACAGGCAAGTCCCGGGGAGAGGGCTCACGTAAAGGCCTGGACATCTTTTCGCTGGGCAAAGGATCGATGCTGTGAAGTCATTCTGATGACTACTTTGCGTGGGGCATTCCCATCTGCTTCTCAGCCATCGTGTAAAACCAAGCCTTATTTTATTCATTCCTTTTGTTCATTCATTTATGCATTCATTCATCATCTGCAAAGTTCTCTCCGTGTGTCAGGCGCCGTGGATGTACAGAAACTAATTAGATGCTGTCTCGATCTGAAGCCGGTGATTACAATACGAACAGGCGCTTGCAGTGACAAAGGCAGGCTCAGGGTGCTGGGGGAGCTGGAGAGGAACGTGGGGCTCAGACCTAGCTCGAGAGGCGGTGTCGTTGGCCTCTGCTGGTCCAGGTGAGGATGGCCATATGGGGCCCTTGGTCTGGCTGACAGTAAGAATAGTCCCTTCTCTTTCTTGGGCTTTATGCTTTCACTTGAATCATTTGTCTTCGTAATCACCTTGTGAGCCAGGGAGGACAGCAGGCAGACCGCCTTGCCTCAGCTTATTGAGTCAGGTGAAGGAACTATTGGTGATTGCTTTTTGACTGATCTCAGCTCTTCTACACCAGAAGGTGTTTTGCCCTGAGATGTTTTTATAACTCAGAGAAGCTTTGAGAGGGAGGGTTGTGTTGGAGTGGTGAGAGCTAGGCGCTGCTGGATGTTGCGCCCTGATTTGCAGTGGGCTGAGAGCATAATTCTAGAAGTTGAGACTGAGAGCAGTCAAGGGAAAGGGACAGAGACATGTGAGCCATAATCTGAGGTTGGAATCGCTGTCTCTACCACAGAACAAGGCTGCTCATGGCAAGGCACCTTGAAAGCACCTGTGACCAGGAGAGATGGCAGAGGGAGGAGGTCCCTGAGAACAGGGACTGCATTCTGAGCAAACATTTAATTTCCCAACTTTGCAGATGGTGCAAATACCATATCAGCCCAAAGGGGCTAAGCAGAGAGAATCCAGGACAAGACCGATGGTCTAGCAGGACAACATAGGACAGCAGGCAGGGAGTGGCTGTACGTGAGAGCAGGGAGAGGAAGTTACCAGGGGCGACATAAGAACAGAAGCGAGCCCATGGTCTAGGAAGCCAGAAGTGAGGCACTTGGTCAGGAAGCCAGGTGTGAGCCGGGAACTTGGTGCAGTTCATGAGGAGCCCGAAGACGGCAAAGGCTGTACCAGCCAGGTGGATGGCAGAGGTCCCTGGCCAGCCAGTGGCTCCAGCGTGACCCTGAGCATGTTTTCAGGACGTCTGTACATGGTTTCTTCTACTGCCTGTGGAATCCAGACTGTGAGTCAGCTTTAATCAAATTTATCAGGGATTGCCTTGAGGGCTGAGACTGTAGACTTTCCCATGAGCGGTGAAATCCTGTTCAGTGTGATGAATCTTGTGGGTTCTCAGAAAATATGAATCGCATTCAAAGAGATAAGGCTTCATCTCTGAGCCTTAGTGTTGCAACAAGAGGCAGGTCGGGTGGGTGGTGTTACTTCGCCGAACTCCAGGGCTTGCTCCGAGGAGGCCACAGGACAGACTGCTGGGTGAGCAGACAGACTCCGTGCAGGAGACGCAGACTGGAAAGTCCCCTCTTCCTGCAGCCCCATCAGCAGCCGCTGGCTCTTCCTGCCTTAGCCTCGCTTTCCTTTTGACACCCAGGCTGCCCTGCTCAGGCCACTCTTAAGCACAGAAACTTTAAATTGGTCCACCATATCCGTAAAGAAGACCACACACTTTCAGAGGTGTCTGTTCTGCACGTATTTTGCAATCTTCTCTTCCCCATACCTACCGGGGCTTCTCTGAGCACTAACTTACCCCTTAAGTAACTGGCAGTTTGACTGACTTGAGAGTTAAACAAAGAGACCTTTGTTGTAAGTGAGGCAAGTCCTCCACCAGAATACAGTCCATTATGTTTGGAAAACGTTTGGTTATATTTACATGGTGCTTGGCAGGTCACAATCTCTCTGTAGATGTGTACTCTTTCTTACACTGGGTGACAAATTTCCAAGCCTCCCTTGGTCTCTTTTCCCTGGAGTGTGTTAAGGAGTTGCTTTTTGGTGGTCTGTATTTCAGAAATCCAGACTGCATTGATCCACTTCACATGAGTGAGATATGAATCCTTTGCTTTCAAAGCTGTGGTTGAGAAAAAGGCTATAAATAATCCAGAAACCATGTACCCCAAAACCTAGAATGCAATAAAATAAATAAATGGGAAAAAAAAATAATAATCCAGAACAAACAAAGTTAAGAGAAACGAGCAGGGTAGATATTGTCACACTTTGCCTTTTTCCCCTTTAGCTCAGGCAGAGGTAAAATAAGGAATATATGCGAATAGGTCTGGAACCCTGCAAGCCCGTTAGCAATTTTAGAACAAAGGCAGAAATAGAGAAGTTGGCAGTGGTTCTCACCTCTCACATGCGTGAGGGAATTCCCGCTGTGTGCTCTCAGCCCCCGCGTGGGCTCCGTGCAGATGCTGGAGGTGGGCTTTGTGCTCACCTTTAGCCAAGGACATGAACAGTTAGCGAGGCATGAGTTACGAAGGGATGATTGGATTGCCATCTGCTGTAACAGTTTTACAATGTTAATATATTGTTTGCAACAACTAGATGGAGGTCAAGTCTCTCTCGATGACTTTGTCATTCCTGACCTTGGCTAAATTTTAATTGCTGACCTTGGAGGAGAAAGTGCCCCTATTCCATTTTTATCCAAGTTACTGTCTTCGGCTCCCTTCCTGCTCCTCTGTCATTTATTTTTACTCAATAGATTTTACTCAGTTTTTATGATGCAACTCAATATTAGGTTCTTCATGATTCATAAAGCAAGTTAGAATTAGGTGACATACAACAAAATGTACTGTCTTTAGTATTAGCTCATAATATGTCTTCTGATAGTATTGGCATAGATATGTGACTAGATATGCAAACTCATCTGTCCCTTAGCGTTATAAACATTAAGCAGAACGAAAATTTTAAAATACTTCATAAATTTTATTTAAAAGTTTAATTTAGCCTAATGCAAATTAGCCAGTTAGTAGTTCCAAACTTGGGATGCATTTTCCTATTAAAGATGGTTACAGACGATGGTGAGGTCCCCAGAGTAACCCGTGAAAGGCTGCTCGGTCTTTAGTACCAGCATATGGACTATGAATTTCTCCCCACCCCCTAAAAAAAAGGAGAGAAAAATGCAAAATTGAACACATTGTTTTAAAAGTTTTGTATGTTGATTACTAATTAAATTAGACTTTAGGAACTGGAGAATGATAAGGAGATACAGTGGGTTTTGAAGAAGACTTTCAGTATATTCACACACGTTCTGTTCATTGCTGCTTCAAGATTAGCATATGCTTACAGGGAAGGACAGTTTAAGAGGAAAGAAAGGTACAAATTAGCATCATCTTCAAACTGTTGTCCTACTCCTTAAAGATAAGCTTGGCGAAAAGTTTCTTTGCTGAAATGTTCTGTGTGAGAGCAGCCTGTCTGAATATATCCCAGAGCCTGGTATCCCTCAGTCTTGGCATGCTGTCAGAGAATTGAAAGTCAATCAGTAATCCCAGGGTCTCATAGAAAACATGAACAACAGATTCATCGTGATACACACAGTGTTTTCTTCGAGGCCCTGCTCCCTGCATTCTTTACATTCTTTTCCCAGCTATTCTCAACTCTCTTCCCTTCATGACTGTTCACATGGGCTCTTCACTTCTTCCTCCTGCACTTCTTCTGCCTTTTTTCTGCTTGTCTTGCTTGGGGAAGGACTCGTTCCTAATAGGTCTTTTAAAATATGCCTGCTAAGGTGGTGTATGGAAGAGTGGGAATTAGAGAAAAGGGAAGGGAAGCCAAGATAAAGTTCCTCCTTAGTATGGGGGGAAGTGAAGGGGGGGGAAGAAAAACTCCCTAGCCCATGTTCTTTAACTTTTTCCACTTTACACGAGCATAGACGCCTGTCTAGATAAGCTCCAGATTAGCTACCTTATTCTTTTTAACAGATACATAGTATGTCATTTCATAGATACACCGTAATTTTTAGATCAATATGGGGGAAAAAGAAGGGGGGAAAAACTATAACTCACTAGCCCAGGTTCTGTAACGTTTTCCCCTTTACAAGAGTGTAGACATCTGTCTAGCTCCAGATTAGCTAGCTTATTCTTTTTAACAGATACAAAGTATTTCATCTCACCGATATACCATAATTTTTAGATCAGCCTCTATCATTTCCATTTATGTGTACTATGTCAAACAGTGCCATGAATAGCATCCGTGTACTTATATCTGAGTGTATTGATATGACTGAATTCATAGGGTAAATCCATATGATAAATTCCTAAATGGTAACTGGCTACATCAAAAGTTACATCCCCTGAACTGAAGTTTTTAAAAAGTTATATTTATTTTAAATTTGGATAATTATCTCCAAATTGTACCTCCCACCCCCCAACACACACACACACACACACACACAAATGTCACTCTTTCCTCAAGAAAATATGAGAAGGGATGAGGCTGATTTCTGTTGTATCTGGTCTGAAGCCATTTCAAAACATATAAGGGCCTTCATCTATTCCTTCATTACAGCCCACATTATAGGGTAAGATTGTCAATATTAATTTTGTTGTCCATAAATGGTATTTTTGTGCTGGTGGGAATGACATTTTTGTGAGATACCTGGGGAAAAGGTAGAAGAACAGAAATGATGAAGAGACTTCAGCTGTGATCAGAGAAGGATGCATGGGACGGGGGAGTCAAATCTCTGTCAAGAAGAAAGCTGATCAGAGTGAGATTTCAGCTCAGATAGTTTTCTGCTTTGTTGTCAGAAAAGAATGGGGGTAGGTGGAAAGAGTGGAAGTATAACACAGCCAGTAGTTTGTGTACATGCCATGGCTGCAAGTCAGCTGTTTGTAACAGAGAGATGGCCAGTGAATTGCATAGCAGCCCCATTGGTTTTTAGTTTTACCAGGGGATTGTTTTTGAGAAGCTTTGGAAGA